TATGCAGCCTTGTCGTACACCTCTGCTGGTTTTGAAGGTATCAGATTGCTGGTTTTCAATTCTTATTTTAACTGAGTTATCTTCGTATAAGTTTTTAATTAATATTGCCAAATGATCTGGAACTCCCATCTCATGAAGAACTGTCCAGAGAACTTCCCACTTTACACAATCAAATGCCTTTTGGTAGTCTAGAAAACAGATTATTATTGGAATTTTAAATTCGCGGGCCTTTTCTATGAGCTGCCGCATATTAAGGATTTGCTCTCTCGTACCCTTCCCTTTGACAAAGCCTGCTTGTTCTTGGGGAATTTGGTTGTCTAAGTACTGTTGCAAACGGCGTTTAATGATTCTTAGTAATATTTTGCTTGGATGGGAAATCAGTGAGATGGTACGATAATTACTACACTTTGTAGTTGTTCCTTTTTTATGGATTGGTATGCACAATGATGTGCGCCATTCTCTGGGCCACTTTCCGCATCTCCAAATTTTATTACAAAGTTTCCACATTATGTAACATCCTTTGTCTCCCATGTTCTGAAGGAGCTCTCCCGTGATATCATCGCAGCCAGGGGATTTATTCTTCTTGAGGTGAGTTACAGCTTCTTCAATCTCGGACAGCAGAATTTCAGGTTCAGGGTTGTATTCAGTGTTTTCGAGGGCTGAAGTGTGGCCTAGATTTACGTGTTCTTCCCTGTAGAGCTCTGAACAATAGTTTTTCCATGTTTCCAACACTCTGTCGATATCACTTATGATAATACCATGTTTGTCCTCTATTGCATAGTTCTTGGGTTTAAATTCTCTCGCAAGAATTTTCACTTTCCGGAAGAGGTCTTTGGTTTCATTTCGATATCCGTGATTTTCTATTTCTTGGCAGATTTCAGAGATGTATTCTTGTTTGTCTTTTCGGCATCTTCGTTGAATATCTCTGGAGAGAGCTTTATATGTCTGTTGATCACAGGGGCCAACTTTAAGTTGCTTTCTTTGTTCAATCACTTTCCACGTGTTTCTGCTGATCCATGGTTTAATGCTATTATTTATAGATGGTTGGCGACATTGGTTCACTGTTGTTACGATGGTTTCTTTAATATCTGTCCAGGCTTCATCCACGCTTTGTTCTGACTGATTGTTCCCTATTCTGGTTAGTGCTGGTTCAATTCTCTCTTTAAAGGTAGCTAATTCGGGGTCCGTTAGCCCAAAAGAACGGGGAGAAGCTTTGCGTATGTTCTTGAAACGCATTCTGTAATCTGCCATCAAGAGCTGGTGATCGCTTCCGCATTCTGCTCCTGGAAATGTTTTTGCGTTGGTAATTGAAGACTTCCATCTCGAACTGATCAGAATAAAGTCTATTTGATTTCTTGTTCTATCTCCAGGTGATTTCCAGGTATAGAGTCTACGCGGATGATGTTTGAAATGCGTGTTCATTACAGAAAATTTCCTTTGGTTGCAGAATTCTAGTAGTCGGTCTCCTCGCTCATTCCTATCTCCTAGACCATATGGCCCTACAATCATCTTCATGTGGTCATCTAGATTCGTTCTTCCAAGTTTGGCATTAAAGTAGCCTAGTATCACCACTATGTCTTTGTTTGGTATTTTATCAAGTACACCTTCGAGAGCCATATAAAAGTCTTCTAGTGTTGCTTGTTCTGCCGTGGATGTCGGGGCATATATTTGTATGATGTGGAGAATGGATTTTGAGCACTTTAGTCTCAGATGTATAATTCTGTCATTAACTGCATCATATCCATTTACGTAGTTCCGTATAGGTATATACCTAAATATAAATGTGAAGTATTTTACTTCTGTATAAGTTTTTAAAAACATTATATATAATTTCGTCAAAGTATCTTTCTATTTTAAAAACTCCTATACTTTAAACAAAAAAATATGGCAACACTGTAACTGTAACGCACATTCGATGACAAGGTCACAGAATAATAAACAATCAGAATGCCCACTCTCAGATGCCGCCTTTGAAGTTTTTCAGCACGCGCGCCATGTTTTAGAAAGAAACACATAACACAGACATATGATTTGTGAGGTTATGTAATTGTTTATATTTATGTTTAATTATAATATATTTATCTTATTATATTTAACAATGTTAATATAATTGTATAGTATGTCTATGATTGCCATAAGTCAATTAAACCGGGTTAATTTTTCTATGCACAACACATAAAACAACACTGGTTCCCTTTAAAACATGGCGGAACGTCTGCGCGAAGGAGATGCGCGTACTTAATTTTCCATGGAGAGTGGGCATTCTGTTTGTTTATTATTCTGTGACAAGGTCAAGGTTATGTTCATTGCCCTAAAATTCAATTTAGCCAATTTCTTCACCAGATTTCGATGGGCACCCACGAACAACACAATAAAATCCCCCCTTTCGTGCAGCCATCACAATAAGTTTATTGCACAAATATTAAATTCACTAACTAACTAAATTAATTATACTAACTATTAACAAACAAACACTAAACACTTGTGAATACATAAACAAACTTAAATTTTTAAGTTGACAACAAAACTAATTAGAACATGGCCAATTCGCACATGCGCAAAGAAATTTGGATTGTGAAAAAGCCATTCGTTTGGCTTCTTGTTTGGGATGGTGTATTCCAATGACGTATAATATATAGACTCGGTGAACGCTTTAAAAAGTGTCCAAAACATGAATACCTTTGTTATTGTTTATTGTTTTGATACGAATATGCACGAAGTTCATGATTTCTTACGAAGCATCACGAAGTTGATCTTGTGTTTGAAAACATCATGGACGTATGAAAACATTATCTCCATTTTGTGTTACAAGCAAATTTTATTTTAAATTGTTGAGAGTTATTTACTTACTATTTTAGTAAAATGCCATACTATTTTATCAAAATAATTAGTTCTCTTATAGACGGGAACAAAAAGAAATCATAAATCATAAATATTTAATTTTAATTAAAAAAATAATTATTGTCATTAACATATAAATGAGCACGCCGCTGTTGTGATAAACATACCTTCAACCTTGAGCCGAGACACAGCCACCTTTACTTCCAAGCCATGAAGTAGAAATTTGGCAACAACGCGTGGTAGTCCGACTTTGGTTTGTTTTGGTTTAACATTTCATATAGGAAGGCTTGTAAAGTTTGTTGAATTTATTGTTTTTTTAACTTTATTCGAATGTTTTATTTATAAATTGTGTTTACATCAATTAGAAAATATTAATATAAGTGAAATTTCATTAAATTTAGAAATTTTAGAAGATTTTTAACGACAATTTAAAAGGCAAGTATAAATATAACCTACAAAACAAACTGAAAATAATAATACTTTTGCTTCTTGTTACAAAATATGTAAACTAAAAACAACAATAATAATACTTTTGTTTTTATGTTACAGATGCTCTGGCATTGTTGTGTACCTGGTTGCAAAACCAATTATGCCAGTACTTTAAAAACGAAACAGGCAGAAAGTACGTTTTTGTTTCCCAAAGATCCCTAAAGAAGGTATACTGGGTTATGCTCTATTCATAGAGAAGGCTGTACAATTACCAAATCTTCCGTAGTATGTGCCAAACATTTTCATGAAGATGATATTCAGCGGACTGAACAATGAGAAGATAAAGATGGAAATGTACACATTGAAAAGTTAATATTTCCCAAATTAAAAGGCAATGCAGTTTCTAATATATTTCCTGAAGTACCATCATATGTAACTGTTCATCGTACTAAAAAAAGAAGGAATCCCGAAGACAGAAGAAACTTTTTGCATAAGAAGAGGGAACAAGAGATAACATAATTATGTCAATTAGACGTAGACAATAATATCCCATTGAAAAACTGGACAAGTAAAATTACAAGTGACTGTGTATATTTCTATGTATTAAACATTAATCAGTTGGGACACAAGTGTGATAATATTTGTGTAATATGTAGTGTAATAGCAGTAATTTTAGTGTAATCGTCAATGTAGGTAAGAATAGATTAAGTGGTAATGATTTGAAATGGATTTTACAATACAGTAAATTAACAAGATGGTCACAATTAGAGAACTTACTTTCTCATTTAGATCTGCTTTTTAGATAAGTGATAACAAATTTGAGTATTACATTCAAAAATCTTTTGAGAATATAGGCTATTTTAAATCGATATACAAGTTATAAATGGTATGTTACATTCAACACATTTTTCATGTATACCTCTTTTAACTTGGTCTATATGACAACAAACCTATTCATATTTAAAATTGCTACTTTTGTATATCTAAGTATGAAAATTCAACAAAAGTTATAAGTAAATAGTAAAATATTTAATTTTCAATTAGATTAATTTAGAACCATATTTATATTGTGTCTGATTTCTTAGGATGAATTTTTTAATCATAATAGTTACACTAAGTTTTTGTGTTTTAAAATTTCTAGAGATTCTTGACTGTATTTGATTGTAAGATTAACTGTTTGACACTGTATTTTAAGTGCAATAAATTTTACTCTAGTGATTATTTTATTGATAATATAACCTAAATAATAATAAAACTTTATATATATTTACTAGGTATATATAAGGTTTTATTAATTTAATTTCCCTAAAAATATTTCTGTAATGAATTGAAGTTTTCAAAATATCAGTTTCCTAAAATTCAAATTAGTTTAATATTCTGGTAGACCTTACAGCAGATTATCGGACTACCGACGTCATAGAATGCGGTGTTGCCTTTTTTACTTCATGGCTTGGAAGTAAAGGTGGCTGTGGCCGAGATCTTTCGGACACTCGATTCTATAGCTAGAATAGAGGACTGCGTAGTCTATATATTATACGTCATTGGTGTATTCTGTGTTCATATCAGAGATATAAGAGATCTTTCCAATGACGTATAATATTTCTTACATACTGGTTCATATCATCGAATTGGAATCGATGGTTCATAATGTTCATATACATATTTAACAAAATATGGCAACACTGTGAAGCGGTGCCTTGACAAAAATATGTTTGGTTATGTTGTGACTTGTGTTATATGTTATTGTTAATGACGTATCGTAAAAGTAATCATTGTCAGAATGATGTATTGTGAAAATGATAAAATCGAGTTAAATAAAATGGAAGTGAAACAAGAAGTTAATAAAAATGAATACACATGTAAGGAAGAAATAGACAATGAGGGAAGTGCTCTTTTTAATACCCTTAAAGTTGAGATTAAGGAGGAGCCCAAGAGGGAAGCTATAAATGATGGATTTGATTATTTAGTATTAAAGGAGAACTCTATAAAGACAGAAAAAGAACCATATGAAGACAAATTCATACCATTTGAAGAAAAAGAAACACGTGATAAAGGTAAGTAGTTAAAAGAGTACTGCTCTTCATAAAATATTACCTTGCTACTAATAAAGTGAAACTTTTCTGAAATATTAAACTTAATTGCGCCAACTGTATGAAAATGCAGGTAATGCCATATTTGCAATGCTAGGTGATTAAACCTTAATAAAAATCATAAAATTTGAAGAAGAATTTCCACCTACTTATGTCTTGGTCTTCAGTTCTTGAAAAAAATTGCATAGCCCAATCAAAAACCAGAACATGCAATTTAATATCAGTTTTATTTAAATTTGACAATCAACAAATCATTGAAGGTAACTGCTAATGTTAACATGCTATTAACCTTTCAGTGCTGCTAATGTGAATTATTTAAACATAAGTGCTAAGGTCCGTCTCTAGGACCATGTATTTATAAATGCCCTAGTATTATCAATTTATTTTTTTTATATAATTTAATTACATACTTTAAGTGTCTTAATAAATATAGTTTTACTTAAAGTAAATACAGTTTTATTTAAAAATTATATTTACGAACATTTATTTTGATAAAAATAATTCATTAAAAAAACCAGCAGCTATTGTAAAAATCGAGAAGAGAATACTTAAATCATACTATAAACAAAAAATAGCATTTTATTTGTAAACCAAAGATAAATTTATCCACTTATAATAACCACATTTAAACAATTGAAGAGCTTCTTGCAAAATAGTGGTAAGCCACAAAATAATAAAATCGAGATATTGTTTAAAGTTTTAAAAAAATCTAGAAAATATTGCTTTAAATGTAAAAACCTTAACGCTTGTTATTTAATTATGTTATTTATTAAGTTCCATGTGCATTTATTATTTCACACAAAAAAACACATATTTACATAAAAAAGATGTTTATTCGAAAAAAATGTGGCTTAACATGTTCTTAAATTAAAAAGATCGTAACACAAAAAACGATAGTCGAAAAAAGTCTTACACGTATCAGAACGAGGTAAGTAATTTAAACCCTATGTTATAATGAGTACAACATATTTTTCTGTATGCACTTTCTTTAACTGGCATAATATTCATTTCTCTACACCATGGCACACAAAATCTGTATATAGTCCTGTAATTGTCATATCACAGTTCAGATATTCTTTTTTTATATTTTTGGCTCTGCTATAGTGACTTTGGTATTTGGGAATGGATTCAATATGAGTTTTGACTGGTTGAATCTGTTCGTCTGAATGTTTATTAGGTCTGTTTGTGTGCTTACCTTTCTTATCAGGAATAGGAACCATAGCCACGAGTGACTTCATTTTAAAAATATTTTCAATTCTTCTCACGAGATTTTTGAAGTACATGAACACTTAGGAATTCAGTCTTGCATACTTTAATTTCCATCTCTCCTACATTAACCTAATATTCAGCGGTAAATTTTCTTTTAGAAATATTGCGTTTATTTTTACATTCACACGGTTAGCCAATTTCACGTGAACTAAAAATCGTCTTGGTTTTCTTCGAAGTATACTGCTGTCCAAAATTACGGCTTCTTTTTCTGTCATTTCGATCATATTGTTGCTCATTTCTTTCTCTTCATCTTGTAGGTTTTGTCTTCTCTGGATTTACCTCCTTATCTTCAAAAAGCCTTGGTATTGGTTCCTGCAATTCATCCTAAAATACAACAAAAAATGACTGCATTAGACTCTAGAATTTGCGAACATTTTAAAATTTTTATATCAACAACTCGATATGCCACAAGGCATACCATATTTTTGCATGTAATATACACGAAATATTTTTGGACAAAAACATGGTAAGCCAAAAAATCAGAATAAAAACTTACCTCACTAGATTGAAACGAAAAATCGTCGTTACTGGCCTAAAGTCTTTATCTGCTACACTATCATCATTATCATCAATAAAATTTACATTTAAAGTGCCATTTTCGCTTAAAACCGCTCTTAATTCAGCACGTGCACCTGATGTCGACGCCATTTTGATGTGGCTTACCACGGTTTACGCGAAAAAGTGAACAAAAACGGACGATTGCATAAACACGATTCATCAATAACTCCGCCATTTATTGCAATAATTACCAAATAATTTTTGTGTGGCTTAACATAGGTTTCTTTAAATACGTAATGCAATAAAATAGAATTCTGTAAAAATGTGGCTTACCATTATATTGCAATAAGGTTTTCAATTCTAATAATATGACATAACTTTAAAATGAAAAAAAGTCAATCTTTTTCCGTACATTCCACACATAAGTATACCTTTATATGTTCTAAACACATAAATTTATTACACAAGTAACCACTCTCCTTTGTTTTTCGACTTTTCTGGCTTCCACAGTAAAAACAACGACCATGAGATTTTCCAATATTTTGCACATTCAATGTGATATCAAACATTTCTCTGAGTCGCATATTTATCATAATTCGTATGCTTGATGCAATTGCTCTACATCTTGCATTGTCTCTAAAAATGTTCTTCTAAGTGTTATGCGTTGGTTCGTTCGAGCAGAATTACACTTGTATATTGTAAATGAATTTATGCCAGCGATATTCAATATTGCATAAAAAATCATCATGGACCTACGATTAGTTGATCTTGCACAATTGTAGCTTTCACACATCTTATCAATAGTGCCAACTCCTCCTTTGGTTGCGTTGTAATCAATTATTATGTTGGGCTTACCAGTCAGTGGATCCCACATATCATCTTCATAGTGCATAGTTGACATCAGGAGCACAACTTTTTTCGGATTTGGAATATACAAAACAATAGTGCATTTATCTTGAAATGCAAACATACTTGAAGAAGTAGGCCTATTGACAGGTGCCGTAAACTCCAAAGGCAGTTCTGGCTTATTTCTTCTATGAGTTCCAATTATAGTTAGCTGGTGATTGACCAATAATGTATTAGCTAGCTGCTTAGTGGTAAAAAAATTATCAAGAGTACCATTTCTATTTGTACTTCAAATAGTTCTGCACAAACATACTACTAAATCCAAAGTGTTTGTGGTTTGTTTTTTATTTTTTGGGTGTTGACCAACATACATTTCTAAATTTGAGGTATAAGCTAATTTAGCATCAGTCAAGGCATATATTTTTATACCATACCTATTTGGTTTTTTGGCATATGAACCTTGAACCCACAACGCCCTCCAAACAAGGCTGCCAGGTCTAGGGATTTATCCCGAATCTAGGGATATTTCAGCATAAAAGGGACAAAGGGATTTTTTTGATATTTATGGTAAAATCTAGGGATTTTTGACCGGCTCAAATGTTTACCTACATAGGCCTATTATAATAACATTTTCTTTAATTCAGGTATAAAACCACTTCGTATTAACAGTATTAAATAAGCGATCTTTAATTACAAATACTTAAACTACTAGTAAACTACTAAAGGATTCTATTATCAGATCTCGTTAAATGTCCACGTTCTTGGAATCTTTATTTTATGCTACCAAATAGATTTCTGCCAAAAATAGAATCCTATATATTTTCATAGAGGAGAAGCAAATTCTGGAGCAGGAATTAGGGGATTTACAGGGTTTACATAGGTTTTATAAAATAAATAGTTAGGGGATTTACAGTAGGAATCGGGTGAATCCCAGGATTCGTGGAAATATATAAATAAAATTATATGCTTCACCATCTCAATTCTTTTCAAGTTGTATTTTGTATTAATTTTATTAAGTGAATAATACTTAATAATATATTAAATGGAATATTCAAAGCCATAAATAAGTACGTTATTCCGTTTTTGTTAAATTTATTCAAATCATCGCTATTATACCGTTTAAAAATGAAATATTTTTGAAATAAAGGTATAAAACAACAATTTTTAGGTTGAGTTTACCGAAAGCACAAGCTGAATATAGCCGCAAATGTCAAAAATATTTCGGCTTGGCAGTGTTGGCATGTTTTTATAATGCATATATTGTATGCTTCAAATATAAAGAGATAAAGCTTTTAAAAAGTATTGATTATTATTTTATGATTTATATTATATTATATTTGATTATACTATTTATGATCTGATGATATTTATGATTTATATTAGTCTCTTTCGAGATTAATTGCAAACATATGTTGTAATCTGGCAACTGCTCATTTGACGATTGCCAAATCTATCCCCTAATCTGCCAAAGTGTAATTGCTAAAAAAATTCTAATAATTAACTGCAATTAATCTCCAAAGAAACAAATATTTACACAGCATCTACATTATAAAAACATGCCAACACTGCTATACCGAAATTTTTTGTTCCATGTTTGACATTTGTGGCTATAATCAGCTTGTACTTTCGGTAAATTCTACCTTTTTTTAATTCCATGTTATTATATTAGGCAACCATCAATACATTCCATCATTTTATTCAGAATTAGGCAACCATATATACATTTATTCCAATCTAGGGATTTCTAGTGACATTTTAATGTTCAATTTAGGGAGGACAAAAATTTTCACCTGGCAACTCTGCCTCCAAAGGCTTCTAATTTTTCATCAACTGTACAATAGTTTGGCATGCTGTAGTGTTTTGGCAAATTGGTGTTGAAGTTTCAAAAAAGTTTCGGATATGAGCTAATTTATCTGTTGTTTGTCTCTCTATAAGAGATTGTTTATTATCAAAGGAAATAAATGCCAATAAAAATTAGAATCGCTCGTATGACATTGTAAGGCGAAATATTTTTATGGAAATAAATGTCGGTTGCGTTTTGATTTAATTAGAGTCTCTCACCATTCTTTTACATGTGTTTCTGGGTCTATCCTTCATCAGAGAGAGTTTGTGAGAAGACTCAAACCAAATCAAAACGCACCAACTACTAAGACAATTATAGGAAAATAATTACTAGAGTATGCTACTAGAGACCTCTAGTGAGGAAAGATGAAGTTAAATATCGATAGCAATTAAAGTAAACTGTATACCCAAGCTTAATCAAGCCATTCAGAGCGATGCTGGGAATATTAAAATTCCGCTATGCATCAACAATTTACCCATATAAATTACTACCATTTTGTACTCATTGT